CTGAGGGGGCACCGGGAGCGTCGGGGGGGAACAGAGGCACCGCGAGTGTCATGGGGAACCGGGAGCATCAGGGTGGACTGGGGGCACTGAGGGCACCATGGGGTAACAAGACCATAGGCAGCATCAGGGGGGACTGGGAGCAGTGGGGGCACTGGGAACATCAGGGGCACCATGGGGGAACAGGGGCACCTGGGCCATCAGGGGAAAGTGGGACCATCATGAGCATTGGGATGGACTGGGAGCACTGGGGGCATCATGGGGGAACAAGGGTACAGGGAGCATCAGGGGGGACCAGGAGCATTGGGGTGGACTGGGAACAGTGGATGCACTGGGAGCACTGGGGGCACTCGAGCACTGTTAGCATCAGGGGCACCTGGGAGCAACAGGGTCACTGGGAGCATCAGGAGAACTGGGAGTATTGGGAGCATCAGGGGGCACTGGAAGAACTGGGAGTACTGGGAGTAGTGGGGCACAACCCCGCCCTGCATGGGCATCACTGCTGTGCAGCCCCACAATGGGCCACCCCGATGGGGTGCATCATGAGGGCACTGGAAGCACCATGGGAGGCACTGGAGGGGCTCTGGTGCTCTCCTCTACCATGGTTTTGGGGTGCCTCAGTGAAGGCATCTGCCCCACTTTGGGATGCCCCCAGTGTTTTCATCCATCCCAGTTTTGGGTGCCCCCAGGTGTCACCCATGCCAGTTTTGGGGTGCCCTTGGTGGCAGCAGCCACCCCAGTTTGGGGGTGCCACTGGTGAGGCCCTGCCAGGGACCCATCATTGGTGGGGTGACAGAGCTGTCCCTGGATGTGGTGGCACCAGGGGCTGGGGACAGCAGGGGCAAGTGGGTGACACTACGGTGGCATGGGCCAGCGCTGAGCCATGGCAGTGGAGACTGAGATGGAGCCAAGTGCTGGGTGCTGGCCCTGAAGCACCACAGAAAGCCCAGATCAGAGCTGCCATTCCTGTGCTGGGGGCCATGCAGTAGCCTCCAGGCTCGTCCCCAAGCCCCCACAGTGGCAGCACCGTATCTAGGCCAGTGTCTTGGCATTTTTTTCTGCCATGGAGTTGTTTTCCCATCCAGGCTCGAGCCACCTCCCTGCCAGGACCCAGCACCCCTGTGGGTGGGGGCACCCAGGATGCACACAGTAACACCCCCGTGCTCCCTCCCACATGGTGTCCCCAGCCCCCCATGCATGCACCTCCCATGCACACCCCCCAGCCAGCCCTGCCAACAGAGATGGAAATCCTGCCAACAGAGACGGAGGCCCTGTCACATCCCCAGTTGGGACAAGGCCATTTGCAAACCCAACCTTCGGGCGCAAACCAGGGGGCCAACAGAAGCTCTGCTTCTGTGAGGATGCCGTCGCCCCGCATTTCGGGGTGTCAGCCCTGGCCGTGGCCCTGTGGGAGGGTGGTGGTGCGCTGCAGGGGGGGAGGCATGGTGGGTGTCCACTGCAGGCACCAGGCTGAGCTGGGTGCCAGCTCCTTGCCCTCCTCCTCCTCGCTGCAGGATGCTGTTCTCAACGCCTGTTACCGGGGCTGCCGGCTGTTCTCCATCTGTCACTTCGTGGATGCGAGTGCCGAGCTGAACACAACCAGGGCTGAGTGTGAAGCAGGTGAGAAACTGGCGGCCGAGCAGCCTCTACATCCCAAACGTCATCCCTGGGGTCCCCCCTGGGTACCATGGGCACCGTTGTGGCTCTTTCCACCCTTCTGAGCATCCTGCATCCCCTCAGCCCCATGCTGCATCCAGACCCCACTGCAGGGGTGCAGATTTACATGCACTGGGTGTAAATCAGGAGGGGTAGGGGGGTGCTGGAGACACAGGGGGGATGGAGTACCCCCTAACCCTGACCCCCCTCCTGCTTTGCAGCGTGCGCTGAAGCCTACAGCAATGCAGAGGAGCAGTTTGGCTGCATCACTGGGTGCCGCAAGCAGCTGCCTGAGTTGGAAAGCAGGAGGGAGAAGGTGAGGGGCCGGGGAGATGGGAACCCCTCATTGCCTGCCTTAACCTGCCCAGGCTGGCCCTGGTGTCACCAGCGGTGGCTCTGCCCCGTCCCCACATCTGGCTCTGCAAGGGGAGACTTAGGTCTGGAGACTGCTTTAGGAAGGAGCCTTCCTTCCTGCGGGAGCTCAGCCCTGTCCCTCCTCTGCCAGGGAAAGGAGGCCTTAAAACCCCAGATGTGCAGTCCATCCATCCTCCATCGTCCATCCATCAATCCATCCATCCATCCCTCCATCCATTCATTATCCATCAATCCATCTATCCCTCCATCCATCCATCCCTCCATTATCTATCAATCCATCCATCCCTCCATCCTCCATCCCTCCATCTCTCCATCCTTCCCCAGCACAGGCATCCAGCCAGCACCCGGCTTCCCTCAGCACTTTCCCAGGGCAGGTTGGGACCAGGTGTGCTGAGACTGCCAGAGTTTTGGGCCAGGCAGGGTGACTCTGCTGAATTCCCAGGATGAGAGGCTCTGACCGGTGACTGCCGCCAATTCCCCCAGTTTTGCTCCTTCCCAACAATTAGAGGCGCTTCTTCCTCCTACAGTTAATTAATTCAGCTTTTGCCCAATTAATTAAATTAGACTTTGGCCCAAGGTAGAAGCTTTTGGCTTTGTACATGTGCAGGAGAAGATGAATTTGTGCTATAGAAAGCTGTGGCTCCTTTGACAAACCACTTTGCAGCCTGGTTTTTAAGACCTTCCTAGTATCAGATCCCATTTCCCAGCCTTGCTCCGAGGTCAGGGATGAGTTTCGGGGGTGATCAGGCTGACAGGGAGGGCCGTCACCCCCTTCACCCTTCCCAAAGCATTTTTCCTTCGGGTTCCCAGACGAGCAGGCAAAGCAGATTTAGTATAATAATTAGATACAGAATCTGACCTATTTATTTCCTGTTTGCTGGTTTGACCGTGCAAGGGGCTGTCGGAAAATGTTTGGAGCCAGTGGCAGGGAGCAGCCAAGCGGATTCCAGCAGGGATGCTTTAAAAATAACAAACGGCCGCGACGGCCAAGAATCCAGGGCACGGAGAGGCTGCCAGGAGAGGAACGCCCTCGGCATCTCAGCCGCTGCTCCACTCCTATTGTTTAGAGAGATGGTGGGAGCGTGGGGCTGCCAAGGGGCTGGGTGATGGCCCTGGGGCTGGGTGAGGATGGCCATGAGACTGGGTGATGATGGCCATGGGGTTGGGTGATGGCCATGGGGCTGGGTGAGGATGGCCATGAGGCTGGGTGATGATGGCCATGGGGTTGGGTGATGATGGCCATGGGGCTGGGTGATGATGGCTGTGGGGCTGGATGATGGCCATGGGGTTGGGTGATGTCCATGGGGACTGCAGCACCCAGCTCATTGACCCTTCTGGAACTGGACCACTGGTCCTGCATATCCCCATTCCTGGAAGATTCAGGCTGAGCCCCAGACCTGAGCGCCCGGCTCAACCTGGCCACATCCTCAAAGTAGGACATGGTCCACCAGGGTGGGTGACGAGGGGACGGTGGTGACACGATGTCCCTGCTGCTTTGCAGAGCCCAGAGCTGAAGGTGCCGTCGTTCTCAATGTTGGATTTGGTCTCCAGCTTTTGCAACGACATCGTCAGCTCTGCCCAGAGCTTCATCTCTTCCACCTGGACCTTCTACCTGCAGGCAGACGATGGCAAAGTCGTGGTATTTCAGGTGGGGGTGCCCTATGGCCCCTCTCTGTTTTGAGGTGGGGGGACACCCCTTTGTTCACCTCTTTCTCCCTTTTTCTGTCCCAACTCACCAGTCCCAGCCCGAGATGGAGTATCCAGTACCCGAGGTGCAGGAGACCCAACCGGAGCGGCCAGGATCGGGGTCCAGCCCCCGCATCCCCCAGCCCCATGCAGGTGTGGGGGGGCTCTGGGCTGCTGGGGGGTGGTGGCTGGGAGCCTCCAAGCCCTCCTGTCTCTGATCCGATTTCTCCAGAGCTAACCAAATTACCCGCTTCTCGGGCCTAAGCCGCTTCCCACACCCCGCACCCATGCACAGTGGGAGAATCGGAGCTTGGGACTCACTCCAAGGAGCTGCTGGGATCCTCTGGGCCTGCCCAGAGGGGAGAGGGACCCCCCAGCACCCCTACACCCCATGGTGTGGTGGCCGGGGGATGGGTAGGGGGACAGACATGACCATGGTGGGCGCCCGGACTCAGCATCATCTCTGCCCCCCCAGGCCCCCGGCTGAAGGGGGAGAAGCTCCCCGGGAAGGAGCCACGGGGCAAAGCCAAGGCACAGCACCCGGACCCCCCGCAGCCAGAGCACGACTTCCTTGGCTGCATGTCCAAGTAGGTGCTGGGGGGCTGGGGGGGGCTGGACCTGCCAGATACACCGGAACAGATGCTCCCCAATCCCCAAATTCCCACCCCATCAACTCATCCTTTGGGGTGTTACAGGCGCTCGGGCCTTCCTCGCTGGATCCTGGCTGCCTGCCTCTTCCTCTCCATCATGGTGATGCTGTGGCTTAGCTGTGCCAGTTTGGTGACAGCCCCTGACCAGCACGTCAAGACCCAGGTACGGGGTGATGTGTGCTCAGCACAGCCCAGGGGCGTCCTATGGGGATCCCCAACACCCTGAGTGTCCCCATCACAGCTGGGTGAGACACAACCAGGGGGTTTGTGGTCCATGGCCACCATGCTGGGCTCACTGTGTTCCCGGTCTGGGGACAAGGAGGTCCTGTCCCCTGCTCCGGGGCTGCACGGTCCTGCACGGTCCCCTCTGCTTCTCTTCCAGCCCCTGAGCATCAACGGCGACAAGGAGTACCTGGAGGACTTGGACGGCACTGTCCCCTTCCCCCTGCCACCCGTCATCGCTGTTACCCTGTGCCCTGTGCGCGGCGGTGAGGATGCAGGGCCGCTGCCCCTCAAAGTCGACCTGGACAAGACCGTCCTGTAGCGCTCCCACCCCCTCCATCACCTCCACGCCACCTCCCTGTCACTGTCCCCACCGCATCGTCTCCATCCTTGCTCCCTGCCCTGTGTCCCTGGCTCCTGGGGGGCATCTCTGGTTCTGGCACAAGGGAGGGGATGATTTGGCTCAGTCCCTCTCCCCACCAGGGATGGCTGCTGCTGCCGAGGCTCTCAGGAGACAGGCAGCGGCTTTGCCTCCTCTGTATCCATGCTCTTTGCTGGGATCCTGGTTTCCAGCACTCGAGAGCCAAGAGAGGAGGGGTCTGTCCCCTCCCAAGCACAGCCCCCGGGGCCCCGCAGCCCCTGGGCATGGCTCCAGCACTGGGCAGGAGGGAGTTGGCTGCGATGGGGGATGGAGAGCGTCTGCGGCGTTCGGGGCTTTGGCTCCGCACATCCCTGGCCTCCCACCTTGGGCTGAGCCTCCAAGGCGCCGGCTCCGGCCCTGGGAATTCCCTTCCGCTGGCTGGAGCCGATTGCCGAAACGTGGCGAATGGATTTGGCGTTGGCAGCCGCAGAGAGGAGCAGATCTTGCCGCCTCCATGTCCATGCAAGGACCCAGCCGGTCCCTTCCCGGAGCTGTGGAGAAGGTCCCCAGGATGACTTCTTCCCCTCCGTGATGCCTTTGGTGTGAGTCATTCCCAGTGCCCATGGGTTGCCAATAGGACCAAGCAGGGTATGTGGCAGCGATCCCCAAGCTTGGGCAGGAATTGAGAGCTGCCAGGACACCTCTGTCCTGCACTCAACATCCCTGCGCAACGGCAGGGCTGTAGCGGATGGCGGGACCGAGCAGCAGCCAGCCCATGGCTCCCCAGGGTTGCAGCACTGCCCTGGACCCACGGGGTGAGCCTTGGAGGTCTCCCAGCCAAGCAGGGACCCACTCAGCTCACCCTAACTTGGCATGGAGGGGTCCCCTCCCTCTCCTTGCTCCGCCGGGGCATCTCCCCATCTCCCCACCATTCTCCATCACTTGACTTTGTGTGTTGTTTTGTGGTTTGATTCACACTGGCATGTGATTCCTCGGTCCCCAGTGCCTCGTGGGGACCCTCCTTGGGTGGGACGGCTCGGTGGCAGCGGTCACTGCCATTCCCACGTCCCCCTAACACATCTGTACAGATTAACTTATCACCCACTGCTCCCCACCCTGGGGTTTTTGGGCTCTCGCAGTGTGCTCGCCGTTCCCCAGTGCTGAGTGTTCTCGGGAGGTCACGGTGTGGTGGGATGGGGGGGCTCTCATCCCCAGCCCCCACTGGTTTTGTGCTGCTCCATATCACTTTGACCCGTGCAACATATCTGGGGTTGGGGAACTGGGTTTGGGGGAGGTGGGGGGATCTCGTGTCCATTTTGGGGTACAAGTGTCATTTGTCGCTTTTTTGGCCGCTCAGCTCAGTGTAAAGCTCGGTGGAGTCTGTGGTGGTGTCCCGGCCACGGGGTGCAACCTTGCCAGGCTGCAAATGTGGGGGAGCGGAGCCCTCCCTGGCTTCACTTCAAAGGGCAAACCCAGCCCCAGACTGGCTGGGCGGCACGGGCAGAGGGGGAATAAAAGGTTTGTACCAGTCCTGGATGAGTCAGTGGCTTCATTGGGTTTGGCATCAAGCATCGTAGGAGATGCTGCAGTCCCTGGGGAGCTGGGACCAGCACCTATGGAGTGGGTGAGTGCTGGGTGGGCATGGGGCCGTGCACCTCAAGACGTGAGGAGGAGGAAGCTGAGGTATGGCAGGGGGGGATCACACACACAGGCTCACACGTGCACATAATGAAGAGCAGGCGAATGAGGCCTTTTCCCACTGAAAATCGCCTGCCGACACCCAGGTGCCTGTTTTGAGGAGGAAAGCATGTGCAGGCCGCATCGGTGGGACACGCCAGGGCTGGAGGGCTGGGACACGCTCACATGTGTGAGCACCCACCTTTCCCCTGCAGCGCCCACCTCTGCGCCACAGTCGAGCTCTCCCCATGCCAAACACACCATGAAAGCTCACGTTAGGGCCCAGGGGCTTGGTTTTGGTACTTCAGTGGCTCAGCGAGGTCTTGTCCTTGGAGCCAGCAGTGGTGTGGGGCCCCAAGGAGCCAGGGCTGGTGCTGGCCTCGGCTGCTTGTATCCTCTGCAATGCAGAGCTGGGGACGAGGAGGCGATGCTGGATCCTGGGGAGGGCTGCAGGTGGATGCTGAGGTGCTCAAAAAGAGTCTCAGCCTAAGGAGGACCCCCAAAGGGGCTGTGGAGCTTGGTCCACTCCCTCCATGGCCCCTGCTTGTCCCTAAAGTGGGGGTGCGATGCCACCCCCACACAGCACTTGCGTGGTGGGCAGGGAGCCTGTGAGGATGCTCTGGGGCCAGCGTGCAAGGCTGCGTGTATGCTATGGCTGCATTGCCCTGGCAATGGGATCTGGGGGGAGTGCGGTGTCCTCAGCTGGGTGCCCTGGGGTGCCAGGGTGGGCAGGGGGATGTCGGGGGGTGGCAGGACGAGATGGGCACAGACAGCTGGCAAACCCTGCCTGTCGCTGGAGCAGGTTCCCTCCTGGGATGGGAGCCGGGCTCCAAACCATGGACAAACTCCTTGCCTTGAAACTGGAGTCAGATTCCTCACTGCTGGCTCTGGAGGCAGGAAACTGTGCCCAGGAGCAGGTGAGGAGGGACCCCACTCCAACCAGAAGGAGACGCATGAAATCAGCTGGTTCCACTCCCCCCAGCAGGCAGCCGGGGGCTTTTCCACCCGACGCCTTCTCCTCCTCACTCCCTCTTTTCTTTATTCACGGGAGAAGCAAAGTTCGCCGTGTGTGGCCTCACTGGGCAAGCCAGAAT